TGATCAGAACAGTTAACGAATAATTATTTCACATTTAATCGATCATTAATAGTACTAGTTTAAAAAATTAACCAATCATAATCGATTACTCTCCTATGTGATTGATTAGTTTCTTATAGTTTAAGGCTTATTACACTTATAAATCAGACTAATATAGAGTAGCGCGGGAAGAGTCAAAGTAAAACATTTAGAAAATTCCCTGAAACCTGGACGCTCATAATTATCCTGGATGCTTTCATAAATTTCTAGACATCCCTAAACATCTTAAAAAAGAATGGCAATTCTAGCTGAAACAAATAAATGACTATTCCTCTAGATCTAAAAGTATTCAATCAGTGTAGTGAGAAAAAATTCTGGTTGAAAATGAACGGGCCAGAAAATTCCAATCATATCAGTCAGAATTCTGATTATCTCAAGTGAAATTATAATAAATTCTGATCGGGGAGATCGGAAAATTCTGATTTGTCTATTTTTAATCAGAATTCCAAATAATGCACCCTCTTTCGGTGTTCGAAGAAAACTGTCGACAGTTGTAAAATAAACATTCTGTTTAACGCAATCAATTAACAGTGTTCCTTTTTTGCGCACGCAAATATTAGGTAAAATCTTAAATTCGCACGAGGATCATTTCGCAATAAGTTCCCAGATCCACTTAAGCCGATTTCCTCTTAAATCAATATCGCGACATTGAGATTCCGTGAAGACGAAGGCGATCTCCGTGGGATCTCAGTCGTGTGATTATCCGAGTGTCTCATGTCCGGAGAAATAAATCGCCGAGGACCTCGGCAGCGACAAAGTGCCAACGGCCTCCGCTTTCGCGCTCGCGCTCGCGCTCGCGTTTCGCGTATCGCGCGCGTAAAGACCCATGAGACACCGTCTGTGCAAACTTTCGCGGAATGTTCTTTGTCGGTCCTTTGTCGGAATCGACAGTCATCGTGTCGCGTATGCGACGTGCCTCGTATCCCCAAGAGTGTTCGGTGTCGTACGTAGAAGCGAATACGTGCGAGTATCCCGGCACCGCGACGAGTGCGGTGACAAGCAATTAGTACCGGCAATTAGCACCAAGCGAGATCGCCACCGCCGGCACGGATCGTGCCAAGGATATGGGGTAGCCACTCGTCTATTCGCGATTCAAACCTACCTTTGACGACCAGCTCGGACCAGTTCTTTTTTCCTTTCCTTTCAGCGCACCTCGACTCGCGCGAATGACGCGCGTCTGCCATTTACGCCAGCATAGATTTGCACCCCGATAATCAGAGCCTTATTCGACGCAAAATATAAAGGATAGTTAATTCCTCAATTAAGAAAAATTTATCTCTATCTCAATTTATATACGGATAATTGGAAAGAGAGAGGAGAGGGAGAACGAGGAGTGATATATATCATATTAAATAATAGTCCTATATTTAGGTGTGATTGTAAGCAAGAGAGGTATGCAAGTATAAATGAGTTAAGGAGTTATTGTAAACCAAGTCTCCTTCTTGGCTGTACACGCTGAAGTGTAATAAATTCTATACTATATAATAATAATTCTATATTTTAATGAAAGTCGCCAATTATACTGATATCGAATTTACAAGATACACGGTATCGATGTATTTGATACAAAGCTCCAGAGTATTGATTCAGTCTTGCAACATCGGTGGCAAATTCCGTCATAAACAGGTGTGGATGCTCCTCTCGATCATGAGCACCCGCAAATATAGCGGCACTTTCTCCTCAACGTCTTCTGTGCATCCAGATCCAACCTAATTACCATTAGTCCCACGCGATGCATGGCGTTGAACTCAGCTCCACTTTTCCATGACGTTACGAAGAAAACTGTACTTTCGGCGTTCTTGACGAACGGTAGGCTTAATCGAGATTATTACTTGAGATAGCGTGAGATATTAAAGCAGTCTTGGATATATTTAATATAATCGTACTGAAATAAGTTATAACAACATCATTCTTGTGCCAATAACTCAAAAATGACAAATTCGGGGATATTTAAAGAAAATTGTGGACACTCCGGGAACACAAAGTTCAATCTGGGGACTGTTCTCAGAAAACGGGAACGTCTAGTAATCTTATTCTAGTGGCCTAAAATAGATTGAAAAAATAGATTGAAAATGAGTAATAAGTAACAGAAAGAGTGCATTACCTTTCTGTTTCAATATTTCTATAGTTTTCAAGCAAAATAATAATGCAAGTTTCAAAGTTTTTGTTGTGTTTTGGAATTTTCATAAGATTAAATAATACCTTTTTTATTCCTTATATCAGAAATGTTGTTTATTACAGGTTTGATATTTTTTAAAATCATTTTATTTTCAAAAATATCAAATCTGTGATAAACTACAACAACATAAAGTATCTGTTGTAACGTATGACAAAATTCATACTTATATTCCACTGGAACTAAAATTAAATAGTTTTTTTGTTACTATACTTATTAAACGTGAAAATTTGAAAAATTTGACATAGTTCGTGCCCTTTTTTCGAAATAAATGAATCTTATCGATTTTATTTCGAAGTATTTGCGATAATCCACGCATTCCATAACGAGCGACAATCGAATTCATTGTCAGATCGACACCTCAGGTACATTTCCGGGAAGTGATGAAAACTTTGAAGGCCTCCTCGCGCGTTCATTAACACATTGACGCTTTTACAAGCGCACTTATCTCTCGCGTCCGGCATAAAGAGCGAAAATGTTTGCGCCAAACGCGAAAAATCGGTCGGCCTCCGTTCTCCGACGGCGCCGAGAACCGTGCGTGTTTGTTTCTCTCATCCACAGTGGTGTGGGAGTGCGGGAGTTGATTCGCGAAAAGGTCGAATTGAGAGACTCTCTTTGCGACACCAGCGAAGATTTTTCTCTCGATTTTTGCAACTTTTTCACGTGCTTGAAGATCGGAATAGATTATTCCGGATTATCCCGAGCGATTCTACGATTATTTCGATAAATCCATCGCTGGAGAGACCCTTTCTGGCGGTGTCCATTTCTATCAATGTACATTAACTTTAACCTCGGTTCAACTTCTTCATCCTTATCTATTCTTAGAACTAGAAAAAAATAAAGAGTTAATTGAACTGAGATGAAAATTAAAGTGTACTGATAGGAACAAGCGTTAGTGCGCCCGACGCCAATGTGGACGCATTTTTGTTGGCGCGCTCTTGAGAGTGCTCTCGTGACCCACCATGCGCGACGACACGGTAATTTCCAATTACCCGGCCCTTCGACCAGCCTCCATTATTGTAACAAGAGAAGTTAAAGGTCGATCTGGTTACACGGATCTCTTCCTGAAACGGACAGAGCTCCTCCTCCGATGGAGATGCGAATAAAAAGACAGTCTATTCCATCTCTGGTGGGATATTGAAACTCGTTATGAACCAATATCTTTTAATTGTCATGAATATCTCTCTCTCTCTCTCTCTCTCTCTCTCATTCTATATTAATGAAACTAAATTTTTCAACTAAAGAGGTAGAAGGACATTATTCAAGCTCTTGTTTCTATATATAAAAATACAATATAAAATTCTGAATAGAATGAACGTTGTTGGGTCTGAAACTTGAACTTTGGAAAATTTCAATTTCGATTAAAAACTCTTAGAAAAGTACTTTTTTATAATGAAGCTTATTAAATTACAAATATAAAGTTTAATCTATAACTTCAGCAATGGATCATTTGAAGCGGAAAGTTTTGAACGATTATACAACCTGTACGATTGGTATTACGATGTTTTAAATAATATAAATTGTAACAAAACTTTTTCTTCTTCTTCGTCCATTTCTTCCCGAACTGGATGCGAATTTATCAATGTCATCGTTGTTGTTACTGCTACTTTTAGTTGCATTCGCGGCGCCATTTCTGGCAGTGTAGTAGTGACGATGACGGTGATGCTGTGAAGTATCTTCTCTGACGTAGGTGGAATCCAGTCGTACAGTGATCGCAGCATAGATGTCCGAGCGCGAGTCGATTATGCATGTGCATAAGTTGCGCCTCCAGGAGAGTACAGGGGTGGAGGAGAAGAAAAAAGATTTTCTGACACGCGGCGAACCACTTCCTTTCCAGGTTCCATGTCGAAATGACTTCTGCATGCGCATCAATTGTAACGCGATCGAGGATGCTTCTTTGTGCTGACACTTCCGTGAATGTCCATCGACAGTCGAGATATTCTTGGTGTCTTGGATTTAGTCGGCTCGCAAACGTCGCAGCTTGATAATTCCCGACAATCATAAACTGTTCGAACACTCAGCCAAGCGGAAATATCGCGTAGGTACAGACGCCTAATTAAACGCTGTCCATTTTTAAGGTGTCACGAATACCGCGAACGCAAGCTCGGAAAAGTAGGACGTTTCGAGGACCGAGTGGGCAGTGGGACACGCTATTTAAAAGTAATACATACAGTAGTTGGCTCTTATTCTACGAGTGGCCTATCGACCGGTCGTTAGCCCGATTAAATAGGTCCTCATCCCAAGCTACTTGAAATGTAGCGCATAAAAGTTCGACCGATGGATTCGATCACAAAAACTCACAGTCGGTGCTTTCACTTTTTGACCTCTACTCTTTATATGAAATTATTTTTAATATTTTATAATATAAATATGTAATATTAGGTTTGTTTTTTATTGTTGCACTAGAATTCCCTTTTTCGCTTCTGCCATCAATCTCAAACATATATCTATCTCACTTTAAGTTCCAAAAGTGTACACTATTTCAACTATACAGAAGACTGATCTATTGTGTTTAATTATAATACAATGCGGATAATTTCACTGCGAATTATATACCTATACGTATCTGTAATAAAATTGCAATCGTCAAACGACGAGTCGCGTCTCTTTCTTTCGCGCGAGAGGAACAATGAGTCCCGCTACTTTATTTACATATTGAAGCGCTATTTCATGTTCACCTATAATTACGAAGTCAGACCGCGAGGAGGATTTCCAGCTGACCCTGGAGAAGGAGAGTCGCGGCAGGAGGATGCGGGGGGGGGGGGATCGAGGGGAGGTACAGAGAGACGACCGGAGTGTCGGTGTCAGTGTCGGACTCACGGCGTGCTCTTCGACGCGCGAAGAAGGAAGAGAACGAATCGGAGAGGAGCGCGCGGAAGGAGATTCGTGCTCTCGTTGACTCCGGTCCAGCAGCGGCCAGTTTCAGACTCGGCGCTGGACCGTGAGCCACGCGAGAGATCTCTGTCTCTCTTCTCTTTTTCCCCTCTCTCTTTCTTAACGCGCGCGGCCGCAAGATGTGAAGATCGACATCGATCGCACAGCGAGATAAAGCCGTTGCCTTCTCGATGATAGAATGACACCGCGCGCTTCGGCTCGCTCCGTGTGCGTGGCCGATCGAGAGGAGATCGAACGCGGAGAGTGCAGGCCGTAAGATCGAGAGCGAGAGTGCAGATCGAATCGTCCGGATCGAGATCGCGGGTCCGCGAGTCCGACGGAGAGCTTGGACGTCGGAGTGGCGCGGTTGGATAGATCGCGCTTGGATAGATCGCTCGAAGTTTGCGAAAATTTACGAGAAGAAGGAGAGATTTGGTGAAACCGCGAGTGCGCCAAGCGTTGAAGTCTCCACTGCGTATATTGTACATATATATATATATACGCGTGTTCTTTTTTAATACACGATATTGTACCAAGTCCACGATCCAGCTGCCATGATCTATCAGTCGAGTCATCAAGCGCCCACAATGTCATCCATGAGGAAGACATCGCCCGGACCGCAACGTCGTAGCTTGCAAGCATCCCCGGCGAAATGCGCCAAGACGAAGCGGAATGATCGAGCGGTCAATGAGGAAAGATGCAGAGGAAGATGCAGGGTGCAGTGGAGTGAGAAACACGTGAAGGAGGGATTAGTCCTTGTCCAGGAGGCGCAGCTCGCCAGGGTGGTCAAGACGGGACCTATTACAGAGCACTACGAGATCGATCCGAAACCGTTTGCAAGGTAAGTTGGTTCACGATACGATTTCTTAATACGACTCTTTAGAGTCGTGCAAACTGGAGACTGCGAGGTTTTATCTAATATGAGTTTATAAAATACCACTGATTGAAAAATGTGATATATGTAACCGCAATGTTTCTTGTGTTAATACATAGATTAATATATAGATTGAAAAGAAATTAACTCTTTGGAAATTAACGCCAAAGACATAATTACCGATGCTGGATCTCCAATTAATTTATGTTAATTAAGAGACACCAATTAATTTCAAGGAACCAAAATGACATGCCTTGTATAGAATGAATATTAAGTATATTTTAATAAAAAAATAATCTCCAAAAAGAATTGCGGATGTAACATAAAGAAAATTGAATTACTTAATCATTTTTGATAAAGAAATCATTTTTCATAATTAAGTGGGTCCGATAGATCTACGCACAAAAAATCTACTGTTACGAAAAGTAATTACTCAATTTACTTTTTTCTTTTAAGTAAAAGTTATCTTTAACAAAGAATATTTTTTTGATAATAGTTTTAAAATGTACTTATTACAAATTTTAGAAAAGCTCACTACTATTTGCTCAATAAAAATTTATTTTTTTTTTAAGAATCTTATAAAATTTTATCGAAGAAAGGGATTTATCATAAAACTTCTTCGATAATAAATCGAAGTAAATCGAATTTGTTTTAATTTAATACTCTTGAATTTTGAAAATAAATTTAATTGAAGTACACTTATTAGAATTCAGAATATATTTTGAATAAATTTGATGCCTGTGATGAACTTAAATTTGAACACATGCATTTTTTTAAATACCTTAAACAAGTAATTAACATCTAATATACTTTTCTGTGTGCATCATTAGGGCATCCGTAGGGTTAATAATAAGTCCGGAATGTGCTGAATTTCTAAATGAACTTCTTACAAAAATCGGCTGGCAGTTTCACGAGTCGCGCGTTATTTACTCCCAACGCTCTTCGTCGCGGCTCGCATCGCATGCAACGAGCCACGCACAATGATTAATCGCCCTCGGATGCGACGCGTAATTTGTCAAAGCTTTACGCACGGTAGCAATATACGCAACGATACGTGACGCGCGTCGCGCATTAATCATATTTATTGCATCGCCGCTAATCGCCGCGCGAATTAGGCTCGTAATGATCGCCGACCGATCAGTAGTGGCGGGACGTCTGTAATAGGGCACCAATTGTCCAACCTGCAATTTCTCTCGCGCTAATAATTTAATTTAGAGTCGCACGAAATGCGCCTGTTGCACGCACGCAGGCGTTTACGGGTGGGACGCCGTTCGTGACTTACTCGCGTGTCGTTATCTTGTCGTCGGGCTTTCGTTTTTGTCAAATTGATTGATTTAATGACTCCTGCGTGTGCAACGAATATTTTCTGAATAATAATGTCGAATTTGTTTTAACTCTCCAAAGCTGATAATGGATCTACCGGACCACTCAATTATAAATCTCTTCCAAATTCGGCTGAGGTGATATATATATATATACATATATAATTCACAAAAATTCTTAATAACTGTTTTAAAGATGCTCGTTAGAGCAATCATGTTACATTGCTTATAAATTTAATCTGTGGTATTACGTACTTTAGGATTGTGTTTCAAGACCGATAAATGATCGGTACGCAATTTGCTTGAACTGGAAAACTGTAAAATTCACAAAAATATCATTAGGCGCCAATTACCCACTTTAAGCGAATTTGGTCTCCTCTCATTTATATAAATCTCTTTGTTAAAAATGTCAAACAATTAAATTTTTCTATATTACACCTTCAAATTTAGAGTATTCTTGTTAAAATATATTTAGTATTAATTCTTTGTTATACAAATTATATTATTTTACTTCTTTGAAAATAATTAGTGTCTTTTAAATAATATAAATTAAATAAATAAATTTTACAGATCCATCGTCAGTAACTGTGTTACGGATTTTGGCGTCGGAGGATTAAGCTTCGAAATGTAAAGTGCCGATTGTTATCATTATCTGGAAACTTTAAGTGTGTCAAAGCAGATTCGGACTCAAAGCAGTTCGTTCAGTTCGTCGCGTTTGCACGTCAGTATGTCTCAACGAAGTGAATAAATAAATAAATCAATAAATATGGGATACAACGTCATAAAGAGACAGTACCGGTTTCTCGGCAGGGTATTGATTAATCGGGACGGTATCGATCGCACGGTTATTAACCGAAACCGATACAGTGGCCTCCCTTTCGAGGTGTGACAAGAGAACGCGCGAGCGAGAGGCGCGAGAATTCACTCCTGTGGACTTTAAGGCTTTTCATATTCATGGATATGTTAATGCATCGTTTTAATTTCTCAGTTGGCGTCGGTGTGTGCACTGATAACTTCATGCGCGCGCCCGATATCAGCCGTCGCGATTTCCTCGCAGCGCGTTTGCATCGCTAATGAAGCTGATTTACCTGTTGCTGCAGCGAGCACAAAGGCGTCTCGCATAATATGTGTATAAATAGCCCCTGGACCGAGTTACGAACATAATCGCGATGTTTGCGGAGATATTTATGTTTGGATTTGTTGCGATTATACGTCTTATGTATCGACCGTATAAATTTCTTTCCCCCTCCTCCTCTATATTTTTTCATGTATAAATAATAAAAATTAAAATTGACACTTCTATATTGATTAACCCCAGAACGATAAAATGATAATATTGCTATTGATATGTAAATTTTACACCCGAGGAAATAGGCCACTGTTATTGTAACACATGAAAAGAATGGTTTTCCTGTGTCTCCATCTCTAAATTCTTTGGAGTGGAATCACACTCTAAAGAATGAAAATTGAGTCTTGAAAAACAGTGACTCAATTTTCAATCTTTAAGAGTGAGATTTCGAGTGGAATCACACTCTAAAGAATGAAAATTGAGTCTTGAAAAAGAGTGACTCAATTTTCATTCTTTAAGAGAGAGATTTCAATCTTTAAGAGTGAGTATCTATTTAGAGTGACAATTCACTCTAAAAAAGTTTTAGAGTAAAACGCTCAAATTGGTTGCAAGAATAGGTTTAATCTAAAATATCAGCAACTCGAATTGGAACAATTCTCGGCGACTAAGACATTCTTTATCGTTTATTACAACTAACCGAAGTTAAAATCGAAGCTGCCCTTCGCAGGCAATAAATTTTCATAAGTTATTTAGCCGCGAGCCTTTCGCCTGATTTTTTCAACACTTCCCTCATCACCGTCATTACGCGACCAATCGCTAAAATCCAATTTTCTATTATTACTGTCGTACCGATCTTTAATAATAACAAATGCTTTAATCGTTGTGCGCCGTATACAGCGGGTATTATCCCGGCGGCTAGACGTGTGTCTCGTCGATCCAACTCTTTGTGTACATATATGTGTGAGCGCGCGCGTTCTTTGATACCCACTCTGTGCCCGCGGTAATTACTTTTGGAAACGAGCCTTGAGTCCCGAGGTAAAGGGCAGGAAAAATTACGGCTATATATCGCTCTCTTCGTCTGGCGTTGCTTCCTTTGTTCCTTCGTCTTGCGCTTTTACCATCGGATATCTCTCCGGGATCCGGGAGGGGTGGAAAAATTCAGGGTACACACCGGCGCGCGGCCTTAAAATTGAAATCGATTAAAGTTAATTGCGTGGCGTGCTATCAGATGCTCATTATCCTTATCTTCGCGACCGCGAAAGGACGCGAATATTACCGCGACGATGAGTCGCCGTCAATTTGCACGCGAGGTATGTATCACGTGGCAATTCACTGGGCGCGACCCCAACCGTAACTTCCGGCTCTCGATTTTACAATTAAACTCGAGATGAAATGACCCTTCCTCCTTTATAATTTAAAGATTTTAATTAATCGATTACAAACGAAAAATATAAAAATCATAAATAAATTTCATAAAGACTTCTCGTTCGTTTTCCAACGGAGAGACAAATAGAACATCGGGATATTTGTGATTTTAATGTAGAAAGTTAATGGTATAACCGTCTATGATTTTATCTTATGGACTCACCGTCGTTTATGTAACACACTCTCCCGTGGATGAAGGCGCTTGCTTACTTGAACACGGGTGAAAACGTGAGGTACGCATTACGGACACAGCCTTGCCAGGCGCCGCTGTGTCGACCTTGCCGAAGAGACGACCGGAATCCTCGACGGCGGGTACAAGATTCTTAGCACCGTGAAGAACGCGCCCGCGATTGTAAATAATATGGATCATTCCATAATAGAGCATCCATCATCCATAGTAAAGCACTGCGAATAGAACATTGTCAAAATACCGAGAGGACGTCATCAAAATAGCAAACTAGATTTTCATGAAAGGAAAATCGAAATAAAATACCAAAAGGTTTCCACGATGGATATCTAATAGAAAATAAAATTAATAATACTCCACACACACATAGAAAATATTCTATACAGCAAATCGGTGATGACTGAAATGATAGAAAGTCTTCTGGAGCGTTTTCGGAGAGAAGAATGCGAGTGGAGGAAAGAGAGAAGAAACGTCACAGAGAGAAAAGATGTCAGAGAGGAGAAGGTGGCAGCGTTCGGGCATCGACTTGTTCTTCAAGGATAAAATGAATTCATTGTGAAAACGCAAAGCCAATCGATGTTAATGTTGAAGCTGCGTCGGAACATCCGATCGAATGAGCAACAGACAATTGCAAATATAAACTGTACCGTCACTCTCCATCATTTTACGCTTCATTTTATCCTCGCACGTGCGCGCGTCGTTCCATATCTTATACAATTTATCTCCGGTAATTTTTTAACTGTTGATTTGATATTAAAATATATGGAATATCGCAGGGTTACATCTTGCTGGAGAGGGTCTACATTTTTTCCCTTTCATTTCTTCTCGTATAAGTATTAACGAAGGATTTGTTATACTTAACAGCGGTCAGTGGGCGAGAGTCTACCGCTGCAGGTCGCGATCGACCGGCACACTTTACGCGGCCAAATACTCGTCCAGGAACCGATTCAACGCCGATTGTAGCGCGGAACTGAGACACGAGATCGCTCTATTGTCTCTATGCTCGCAATCGCCACGTGTCGTTAGGCTGCACGATGTCTACGAGACGCCGAAGGAAATTATCTTAGTCATGGAATAGTAAGTACTACGTTTTTATTTCCTTTTTTCCTACGAGATTAATATTTCGTTTTACACACACAAATTTTAGCAATATTAATTATTGCTATTGTTAGAGGAAGAGCGCTATAAAGCAGGAATAATAACGATCACTCGTAGTCTGCTTAGTGATGTGATTTCAGCATCATTCATCTCTGATATTATCCTAAAGAACGATGATTTCTTTTTCAGTGCGCCCGGAGGCGATCTGCAGACGCTCATCGACGGCGATTTGGTGCCCCTTGAAGGTGACGTCGTACACTTTGTGCGGCAACTAGTGGAAGGACTCGCCTACCTCCACGAGAGAAATATCGCCCATTTGGACATCAAGGTAAGTTCGACCCATAAAAGGTCGACGCGAACTTGTCACGTTTCTCTCGTGTATCCGGATCCCGGAATCGACTGCGCCGTCAGAAATTTCCTGTTTTCTCTCCGTGCTTGCATATAACGAGGAAGCACAAGGAAAATGCTGGGAAATTTCATAAATAATCTCGATCCGTGTATGACTTCTCGAATTGTCGAATTTCTTCCACTTGATATGATACCACTTGACTAATTTTAATAATTAAATGGCTGTTGTGTTGAAAGAGAAGGACAGAGCGACATAATTCAAGCTACGTCACTCTGTCTAAATCGATATAGTGACTACTTTAGGAAAATATGTAATTCTATTCTTATTATGTCTATGTCCGATTTTAAATAATGGACGTTCTGTACAAATAATATACTTAAGGTGGTTCTTTAGTGAAATGCCGAAAATTTGGGGTGCCTCACCAGGATCCACTTAAAATTACAAATATCTGCATAATTTGGATAAAATATTAAAACTACGTGTATATCTTAATGAAATAGTATGGAACATACGATAGTAAATCAAGAACTGCATCTTCAGCAAAGGAAAACAAGATGTGATTATGTTTACTTTTCGAGGTTAAATTTATATGCAAGTTTATGCATGTAAATGTCTTTCCAGAATAGGCCGTTGACCTATTACTTTTTTGTGACCATTAAAATCGTAATTTTTTAAGCTATTATAATCACGTTTTTGAGAAAAGTCTATGGCAAGATTTGCGTGCAGTTAGTCAAAGAAGCATCTGCGAGCCTTATCTGTCATTTAAGTTATACGTGAAAGGTTACACTTTCAACATTTTTTTTCTCTTTTATTTCATCATTGACCTATCATAAAATTTTGTCAATTTCGGTACTTCAATTTCATTATATAAAAAAAAATTAGACATTTCTGTGGTAAGTCGATTTACTAAAGAATCACTTTAACGCGGTGATGGAGGAGAGTTTTAATTACGATCGGTCGTTATCGATCGTGTGGAATGACGAACGATAAGCTCTGGGAAACAATTGGAATTGCCATTTATTGCTGTGCACAGAGAAAAGCACACATACGAGTACAATCGATGTCGATCATAGGGCCTCCTCGATCGCGGTGCGATTCAACGAGAAGAAAGAATAAAAATCACCACCCGAGCAGAAACGAAATCGAATACATGGGGGCAGCTTTATCTCGTTTTCAATTTTTTGCAAGCGCAGCGGATTGTTTCGACATCCACGGAAATCGAACTTGCTTTTAGGTACAGATTCTAGAAGAAATAAAAAAAAGGATGCTGTGGTTCATGTCGTGTTCGCAGCGATAAACGAGGACGGAAAACGGAGCCGAACAAACTCTCGAAACTTGAGACACCTCCGCGAGCAATGTTTTACTCCGAGTCGACCGGTGTTGATTTCATTCGCTGCTCAGCGAAAAGCCCGCGTTTCTATGTATTCATATAAAGACATATCGTCATTTCAGCATAACGTTTTCATTGATGTTATAGCATGAATTAATTTGAGATTCTTCTTATGATAAATTCGGTCATTCGCACTGGATTAGTACATATTAAAGACTTCTTTGTATAAAGTATCTACACAGGAAGAACGATTTTGCTAAAGTATTTAAAAATTTAGCTAGACACAGATCTGACAATAATTTTGTTGAACCCCATCAAAGTAATTATATAGAATACTCAAACTGGTTGCTAAAATGCCAAAACTTTTTATAGACATCGTGTGTCTCTGACTTTACACACATTTTATTTTATCATTAACTCACTAATCAAAGAACACGATGAACAACACCAAGCCGGATTAGCATTGCGAGGTGAACGTGTGCCAGGTTATAAAACCATGTGGATATTTGCGGAAAAAAATAAGCTGTCGACAACAACACGCTGTGAGATGCAGAAGCTTCATACCGTAAAGTGCATTTTGATTCGACGAGGTCGTCGGAATCGCTCGTTACGGATGGGAAGATACCTTCTCGTTATCCTCGTAGCTCGTGAAGGAGAGAGAAAGAGAAAGAGAGGGAGAGACAGAGAAAACGAGATCGTCGAGCCTTTAGCAGCTCGAGCGACATCCTCGAGCAAAGTAGTGAGACACTTGGCGTCGTTCGACAACGTCCGCTTGTGAATTTTTTATTTGTAATCTTCGTGCGCAAAGTAAGATCGATTTGCATTACACCAGGCCGAGAGTTCGATTACTCTCGTGCGAAACAAAGGGTCCCGGTCGACCCTTGGTCGACCGACGCGATTAATTCAAAGAGCGAAATTAATCGCGCGAATCAGTTATGGGTCGACGTTTATCGCGCGAAGGGGTGACGCAATAAATTAACTTTGACCTACTACGAGCTGCTCGTTGCTCAAGTTCCCGACGAATGGGTACCACCTGATTTATTTCGTAAGCACTTCGACGGAGTGTTCGTACGCGTCGTTGCGTACGACGTGAACATTATTCCCGCGCTCCATAAACACGCCGCTGCCGTATTTGGTGGTGCGGCATATAGGTAGAGCACGTGAGAGGAAAAGAGAGAAAAGGAGCTGCGCTGTTGAGTGTTCTCGCATGAACTCTGAACGAACCGTGCTCCACGTGCGCGATTTCCTCTCTGGACTTGCGAACCGTGCCGGGAAACCCTGGCGAAAATAAAAATTGGAATCGAATGTACTCTCTAAAATCTTTGGAATAGGATCCGATTCTAAAGAGTGCGACAAAGAGCGACAATTGAACCAGTATTCAAAAACAGTGGCTCAGTCGTCAGTTTTTAAGAGTGAGATTTCACTCTTTCGAGTTAGGTTTCACACCGAAGATTTTAAAGAGTAAGGAGAGAATGACAGAAACGAAGCTTTTAGGAGGTAAAAATGGAGACAAAGAAAATTGAAGCGTCTTCTTTTATATTTTATTGTCTCAATTTTTGTCTGCTGCTTCATTTACCTACGCTTTTGTTACTCTCATCTTACATTTGACTTTTACGCTCCAATTTTTATTTTCGCCAGAGGAGCTATGAGGAATCTCGCTGCGTCGAAACGTTCACGTAAAATCCACGCTTCGCGGAGAATCCATGTGAAGAGAAAACGACGAGAACAGGATCAGAGCATGTATTATGGAATTATTCGGAATGGATTTTGATCAGAATTATTTAATTATTTTTTAGCTTTCTATTGTGTTTTTTAGGGAGAACGAAATAATTCCGATCGAAATCTATTCCAAATAATTTCATAAAGAATTAAAACAGATTATTAGTACAGATGATTGGATCCATATCTTAAGATCTGTTCTTTTCAGAGTTGGACTTTTTGTACTGTAAATTTTTCTCTTCAACGTGGAGAGAAAAAGAGACAAGCTGAAGTTCAGTTTGAAAGAACAGACCATTGATCTCGTGTCGGGATGCCACTTGAGTCTGATATCGCCCACACTGCGATGTCCACGGGAGCGCGCCGCAGAGATATTGCACCAAGCGAGAGATCGCTGCGAAAGATCGCGAAGAGTTCGCGACGCGGAGGAGAGGAGAAAAAAGGCGGAGAAGAAAACGGAGCGCGCGGCGCCGCTTCTCGCATTGCAGTGAACGACGGCCACGCCCTGCTCCTTCGCCAATTGTGCACGCACTCTCGGTGATTCACCACCTGGTTTCTTACCTCCTCCGTGAGATACCCGCGTTTGGCCTGCCATAACCGGAGCAACTCCCGATAACTCGAGATTTCGCGCGCGAGGGAAATCGCGCAACGCAACGCAGCGCGGTGAATCGAGTGCTCGGATAAACTCAAGACTTAGATAAAGACTCTATAACAGAGTCTGGCCATGAACACTTTTATCAAAACAAGAGTGAGAACGAATATTATATACTGTTGCAATCTTCAAACATCGAACTGAAGATGTACACCCAGCTGCAAACTTGAACCGAAATCTACTGCGACGACCGTTAGAAATTAATCATAATTCACTGATGATGGCTCGAAAAAGAGCCGAAACGAATGAATTTTACATTCGAATCGAATGTAAAATAGGAAAGGAAAGATTGTAATAGTAAGTTCTTTTAATCGCCCGTTATTAAATAACTTGTAATTTGTTAGTATATACTCTCTAAATCTGAATCAGTGGATAATCACTGATATCAGTGCCAAGTATACCACTGGTAATCAGTGAATTAAATATGAGATCCTTACTAACTAATCTTTATTATGTGATTTAACTAATCTTGTTTTAGTGCTTAAATTCAATGAACATAGTATTGGAAGATTGAAATTAACGTGCAAATGTCAGTATTTTAGTTATACATATAATGCTCAAACATTCTTCCTTTTTTAGTTAGAACTTCACTGATTATCAGTGTCAAGTATGCCACTGGTAATTAGTGACTATCCACTGATTCAGATTTAGAGAGTACTGTCTCTTTTCATACATGATTTCTCATTTATAATATCTTACTCATCCTAACTTACGGCTGTGTTCCAAAACTCGACTCTGTCAACCCGAGTACCGTTTTATCTTTATTGTTTACCGAATGTTGAACAAGGATAAAAGATACTCGGAGTTGACAGAGTTGAGTCTTGGAACGTTTCCCTGAAATTAACAAAAACGACGGGCTAATCAAAAGTTTGTCATCTCGTAGCCAGACTGTTATAGGGTCTCTAGACTTAGATACATCAACAAGTAATTAATTTGTCTGTAACACTTGATGGCATACGATTTTATATCAGAGATATATTAGCATAGATCTTTTCACCGGTTTGGTTCAGTCAGGTGCAATATATTGAATTATTTCACGGAGGACAAACGGTTTCAATTGACCGATCAGACGACTTTGACATATCGCTTGAGCCCACGCTTCTGTTTGATCAACGCGAAAAGATTTCGTCGATCAATCCGTGTGGGATTGTCGATCGTATCTTTCTGGAGAGTGCGGAGAGCTGGTCATCAGATATTTACCAATGTCATAACGTTAAAAAAAATTGATTAACAAAACGCCCAAGGCGATCGTTGAGATCAGACTCCTTTTCCGATTCATCATTTGCAACTTGTAAAATTTATATAGATGTGATTAATTAAAAAGTCAAAATGTAACAGTTAATGTACAGTTTCACTCGTATATATGAAATACATGTTTATGTTTTTTTATGTTAACATCACACGAGATTTTTATTCTAAATTGGAGAGCTTACTGAAACAGGCCTAATTTATATTTTTACAAAATTAAGTATTTATTTAAATTTTTTCAAAATAAAATACTTATTTTAATACGGGATCAAGAATAAAATCTCTTCTATAGGTTCAATATCATAGTCTAAATATTTGATTATTATTTCTGGGGCACATGAAGAGCATTATAAATCATGTTTCCTATTTTCATTGTAAATTGGATTCGCGTACAACGCGCCACGTTTGAGCTTTTGATCGCGTCATCCGATCTCTTCGAGTTCTCACGCAGCAGGCCGGCCTGAATGAGAATTACTTCGCACTATCTGCTCAATCGACAGTCGTTTCACGGAAAAACGAGATCTGACGGAAAATAAATCTCTTGAAAAAGGCCACGAGAAGATCGAGAACAGCAGAAGATGGGCGGTGTTTGCCGTTTTGATTAGCAAGCGTGATTGCGAGTCGCATTATTCTTTATAGTCTTCTCATTAGTGTGGCTTGCTTGTCATTCGGTTGCACGCATTCGCGAACTTCTGTGCGATATTATTGCGTCTGTAAAGCCCGACGTGCAGAGAGCACAGCCGCGTAATATTCCCGCCACGTAATGGCCCCGTCGAGGGAATTACGTATCTCCGAGGGCCGGTGAGATTTATTTTTATGTCTTTTGTCATTATTTATTAGTCGCACGCGTGACCAAGAGAAACTTTGAATATTCAGGTGCGCCTACGTGAAAATGCCCAAGGCTCCTCCCGCTAAAGCGACGATGATGCTGACCGAGCCGAACGCCGACGACGCTCGAAAAAGGGTCGTCCTCTGTCGCGCTTTGTCTTCAGACGAGCTGAACATTCGATAAGCACGCTCCTATTTACCATGAAAAAAGAAAACGAACGATCTTTATACATCGACACCTACGGACGGCTATAGTTGTCACGTTATGGCATCTTGCTCAATCGAGTTGTTGCTCCACTTGCGAATACATGCGATGTACATGCGTTGCTCAGATTGTTCACTGAAAAAAAGTGTTTGATATTTGTGACTTTAATTGCACGATAAAATAATTATGGTTAGGAACTCTATTTTTATAGTTATTACTGCTATAACGTTACTAAATAATTATATATTAAAATAATTATATTTATAATTTTTTACGCCTAAAAAAAATATGACTATAATTCATGATAATCTTCGATGTCAACTGTATGTAACTATAAAGTTATGAAAAAAGTTGTGAATATTGCCCTTCGATTTTTACAGAAACAATTTTCACATACAAATTTATATATTCAGAATCAACGGCAATTAATTTCTCAAAATAAAAATCATGTTCAATAAATCATTCGCCATTAGTCTGCTAGCTGCCGAATTTGGTCATATAATGGCGAATAATTAATTATTGAACATGATGACCTTTATTTTAAGGAATAAATGTCAATGTTTCTGAATAAATTTGTACACGGAGAAAAATGTTTGGTTCAATTAACTGGAATTCTGGTGCAAGATGAACGATCCATAATGTTGGTTAAATCTACTAGATTTCTAGTTAAATTTACTGGAATTCTATCAAAACTTTGGTAGATTTAACCCCCTCCAGAATTTCGAATCGCTCATTTACCACCAAAATTCCAGTTAATTCAATCAAATACTTTTCTCCGTGTATGTAAAAATCAAAGGATGATTTACAACTCTTTTACAACTTAGTATTTTTTTATATATAGAATTATAAAATATAATTATTATTAAATTACAATTATTATTACTAACATTATAGTAATAAAATTATAAAAATGGAATTTCTGTTATTTTACAATTATTTTTAATGAGCAATCATATATAGTTACAAATACCAAACATTTTTCTCTTAGTGTTCAAGCAAATGATCTGACGATTGATGAAAGCCGCGATATTAATCAATATATAGAATATAAAATATGTCAAATCGAGATTGTTGCGATCTAGATTATGTCAGCAATTATAATAATGCAGCCTTCGGTAGCAGCGACCTTCATTACATGCCGGTTACTACTGACGATTTATGGTAATTGGATTGTCGGCGTGTCTTTGAACGGTACGATCCGCCGCAAATCGTTAGTAGTTCGCATGCTCCTTACCCTTCACGCCTGATACGTTTTTATAAAATATCATGCGAGCCCAATGACTTTCGCGACTAATTATTTCCCTTGTTTACGACCGATTTGGCCGCTTTGTCGCGATGAGTACGGCAACCCGGTTGTAATCGGCATCGAGATAGAATTTATACTGACAAGAGATGCTGCTATTTATCAGATTGTCGTAAAAACAGTACATCTAAAGACCCTTTAATAAGGGTTTGGACACGAGCCACAGTATATGCAAGGTAGTAATTTTAACACAAATCTACGAGGAAAAAGAACATAGGAAGATACATTTACTATTTCTTCTCTTTGTTATTCTGTTGTATCTATTTCTCTCTTTATTATTCTGTTCTATCTATTTCTATCTCTCTTTTTCTCAGGAATTGTTAAAATATAGCGGACCAATCAAAAGTGATTCCTCATTTCCAGGCTCTTATTAAAATATCTCTGCACGGAGAGAATTTTGTCTTGGAGTTTACTCCGAAAATATGGTAGTTCTGAGACATTTCGCAAAATTTTATGTAAATTTCTCTCATTCATTAATAAAACTATAATAAAATATAAAATAAGATTGATTAATTTTGAAGTGCATGGTAAAAATCTTTAAAATACTGTACCACAACTACCATATTTTCAGGGTGAATTTTAAGATAATTATCTCCGGGTAGGGGTGCATCAAAGGCCGTTGAATCCCGCACTGCGCTCATTGAACTCTCCTCTGTCTCTCTCTATCGCGAGATATATCAGAGTCATTCTCGAAACGAACATGGAATTCAAAGTAAAGGACGATTACCGGATGCGGAAGAATGCACTATGTATCTTCGTGCGCATCTCAGAAACGATCGTCGAAGCGCGGTCATAGTATCGCGATTCCGTAATCTAAACGACGGGCATACACCGAAATTCCATTCACCAGCGGAACCGGCAATGATACCAGGCGTTCTGTAACGTGATACAGAAATCGCTTCCTCACGCCGTTAATATGCTCACGCGCCCTTATCTGCGCGAGCATGCGGAAGACCGATCGCATCCCTTTGGTTACGACCGCAATAAAACCGGCGACAGATAGTTCAACTCTTCGAGATACGAACCCGATCTCCACAAAGCTAGGTGTCTGTTTCGCGAGATAAGGTGTGCAAGGTGATTTAATTGCACGATGAGGCGGTTAATAGTTTAGCTTGTCAGAAGTTAAACAGATCAACTTTATAAAGTAGAAAAAATTAAGAAAGTTGTATTAATATATACAATACTAATCTCACATATCTAGATACACAGAATGTTTATTACTTGGAAAATCTGGAATTTTCAAGAGATCTCTCTCTCTTATCTTCGAAAATTGAAGATTTTCGTGGAATTTTATTGATACTCATCGTGTTAGGACAATTTTTGGAATTTTAAATTTAAATTCTGTTTTTTTATAACATTATTTCTTTTATCTTTTTTTTTAATACAAAATGTTGACAATCGACTAGCAATAAGTAATTTATGCACATTCTCGTGTGCCTCGGAAATTTTTATTTAAAAAATCAGGGTGATGAAGGTAGAAAACATTTCCATTTGTCTCATACATTATACGTGTGCGTAGAAATCTTTTTTCTCTGATTTCTTTACAGCCTCAAAATCTGGTCATGATGGGCTCCTTTCCGGACTGCGACGTTAAGCTATGCGACTTCGAGATTTCGAGAGTGATCCTCGAAGGCACTGAGATCCGAGAGATTCTTGGTACGCCAGATTATGTTGGTGAGTGAGTCTTCTAAAATTCTTACTATAATCTCATTTACTTAACACATCGATGGGAAATTTAATTTTTAAGTGGCACACATTATCGGTTCGCATTCATTTTAGAAAAAAAAAAAATCAATTTTCGAACAAAATTAATTTTTTAAGATCATGAAGATTATCGATTTGTGATTACAACGAGTAAGAAGGATATAACATTTCATATTCTATTGCGACGTATTAAATGTCGACCTATTAATGTTATTTAAGATTTCGAAAGTTTAACATGCTTTATAACTCTTTTTCGAGCACAACAATTCGAGCTACCCGTTTGAGAGATCGGCGAGAGATCGGTGCTGATAGCGGCTTGACAAACTCCCTTAATCAAAAATATAAAAATATAAATTGCTACATTATGGCTGTCAAGAGACAGCACGCATCGGGCATTATTCGGTGCCAAGGAGTCACCGTGACGTCGTTTTGAAGGGGAACTCGTCCAGGTGGTACGTCCGCGCTCTTTGCTCTTTGCCGCGCGGCTTAATTGCTACCGATCATTATCTGGGCCCGCTAATTGACGATCACCGTAGCGAGATCGCAAATATAATCGATATTAATTGACACGTTAGCCTCATTGCTCGCAGACGTGCGCCCTTAATAAAGCTTGGGGTCCCCGTTACGCACACGCACACAGTGACAGCCCTCTCGACCCCTCTTTCCCTTCTGCTATATAATTGACGTCGGTCTCTTCAAATCGTGCCGTTTTCAGGCAAGGTAATCGACGAGTCGTGGCCTTTACGTCGCGGAACGAAATAAATAACAAAATCAGACGGCCAATGAATTAACGTCCCTCCTTTGTGTGAGATCTTTTCCTTTCTTTTCTCTCTTTCTCTCTTTATCTCCGTCCCTCCCTCGTGAAAATTGAGATCTCGCGGGAATAATGCTTCTTCGTCGGGTCCGTCATAAGTCCAAATATGATTTGCAATTTAAAGTGACGCGTTCCTTCGGACCCGCCGAAAATTATTTATCGATTAATCATTGCCGGTGTCGACTTCAATCGGTCTCGTCCGCCCACTTATCTCATTTTCTCACTCGCTGTATAGCGAAATGTCAAGCGGCGAGATGTCGGAGGTGGTAACAGTTACGACAGGGTGCTCCAAATCCGTCTATTTAACAGGCAGAACCGGTAGACATTATACTCGCCGTGTGATTTAATTTATGCGTGTCGCCACCGCGCACGATCACATACTGTCTACGAAATAATAGAATCAGCGAACTCGACGGTGGGTAGTTTAAAATTGTATTATCAGCCGAGGCAATCCGGTCTGATGATCTGACGGCGATAACTTGAAAGTTATTGCAATCGTATCTCCTCATTCTGCTCGCGTCAAACTTTTTCGGGGATTTCACGCAGAATCGGGTGACTACCCTAATAGCGAAGCCTGCGGAGACAGATTTTGAGCAGCTACCAATTTTTACAGAAAGGCAACAAATTGTTTGGATTATCTGATATTGTCAGCAAATTGCTGTCAGAAATATGACAAAGCCTGCTAAACATGCTATGCTAGCAGATTGGTAGCAGAAACCGAGCAAAGTTTTGCGTAACCTGACGGCAGATTGAGAGCAGATTGAAAACAGAACCTGATTCGAGCAGACTCTGTTCGGTTTCTGCCACCAATCTGCTGGCATAGCCTGTCAGCAGGTTTTGTCGTCAAATCCATAGCCAAATGCAGACGCAGATGGCTATGGTTTTGTAGTCAAAATCTAATCGAGTTTGCTGCCAATTTGGTCCCAAATCGTTAACATTTTGCTATCAGGGTATAATGACAATCTTATAGCGAATTTGATTGGATGCGCTTTAAAGTCGTTGTACACAAATCGACGTAAAGATACGAAGTTTAATATAAATATAGACACTAAAAAAACGCCGATGCCATTTTAGCTTCGCTAATCGTTTCAATTATTTTTCTTTTGTATTAAATATATACAATCAGGATATTAAAAATATGAATATAATACAAATCATTTTAATGATACAAATAATATCAAAATAAATCTTCATTAATTGGAAATAAAGATAGAAAATTACCAAATTGGCACACTTCCGCAGTTTTAGCGAGATAACTAAGCGCTAACTGATTAATCTGCTGAACTCAGCCAATCTAAGCTGTGTCTAAATATATTTTTTATTCGATATTAATCAACAAAATGAAAGATTAAAACAGATATACTCTATTGATATAAAAAAGCTTTATATATAATTTATATAATTCCCTAAACCAATTTGTATATATGTTCTATTTACATAACGAAATTAGACGAAATACTATATATAGAAATTTTTTTCCTTAGTTACAAAAAATAACATATAATTGTTTTTTGTATGAAAGTTCCCCAGATAGCACAGAGAATAAAAAAAAATTCTTTTTTTATTCCCGACTTACGAAATGAATTTTTTTCTATCCCATTTTTCTGGATATATTTGGTAAAATATATATTAAGCAGCTTATCATGAGAAATATTTCATGTCTACCTACATTCGGATTGGATCAGTGCTGCAGTGTAGAATGACTTTAGTATGCACACTAGCATCCAACCGAATTCGCGATTAGGCGACAAAATGTCAAAACCCTGGAACTCCGATTCCGATGCGTAGAATCACCGCCACAGCATCATCCAAATTAACGCGGTTTGTCTCGATTCTCCTTACCTTCATTCACCAGCCCACGATTTTTATACGTAAATAAAAATGATGCTTGCGAATCCACGTGACGTCATGTGCGAGGTCATTGGACACGAAATAAGTGTGGACGTGCGGAGGAGAGACCTCGGCACGTGAACTCGGTGAATACTACTATTATTGTGCGTACATTTCCATACATTCAATCATGTTTACATTTCTCTTTCAGCGCCTGAGATACTGCATTATGAGCCAATCACGTTGGCAGCCGATATGTGGTAAGACCAAATGCGGTGTGTTTCGTTATCCTTTTTGTATAGATGCAGATCAGGTTTTCTTCGAAAATATCCCCTTTTCCAGGTCGCTCGGTGTCACAACCTACGTATTGTTGACGGGTTTCTCGCCCTTCGGCGGAGAGACCGATCAGGAGACTTTCCAAAATATATCTTTAGGAGAAGTGGATTTCCCTGAAGAGCTGTTTGAGGATATTTCGGTGCAGGCGAAGGACTTCGTCGCGAAGCTTTTGGTGCTAGACCCAAGGTATAATCATTATCGACGTTTGAATTCTTCTTTCAAGGGTGGTTAAACAATTTCGTCATGTAAAAACTCAAATCGTACTCTCAGATATAATTAAAAATTATAAATTCTGGAAAATCTTGAAATGTTTCAAAACATTGAAATAGTTTACATCGTTGCAGGATAACTATCTACTAATCATTGCACTCAATATAGCCTATATATGTATAAATCTAGCAACCAATATGTCCTACTTATTATTTATAAGCTACATGAATAATTGTAGTTCTGTTTTATTATGTTTCAATTTATTAAATTATTATCTTTATGGTTGATGACGATTAAGTAAATTTTTTTATTTCCTAAGTGCACGGATGACCGCGAAGCAATGCCTGCGCCATGACTGGTTGCGTGGTGCCCCGACACAGGCGTCGCCGCATCTACGAAAGTATCTGTCAAAGTCGCGGGAGGTTCTTTTAGAGCGCGTGGTCAGTCGCGAGAACCTGAGGAGGGCCGCGCTGATGAGCCAGACGACCAGTCAGGCGAGTCTCTGCCAGGGGGATGTCCAAAGCGATCAGAATTATCAACAACATCGTCAACAAGGCTTACAAGACTGCACGCTCAGTCAAAGCGAAATGTGCCTGAGCCATCGCCTAACCGGAAGTCACTCGAGTTTGGTAGGTAGCGAGGGATTTGCCAGCCCGGCGGATTCTCAGGCCAGCCTGAACTCCTCCAGAACCAGCCTGAGCTGCGCAAGCCAGAGCTGTCTGCTGAACCAAGAACAAACTCGAGGACTGTTGAATAAAGCTCAGAGCCGATCCCAGGCTAATCTAAATCACGGCCTGAGTCGCGGTATACTGTCGAAGATACGCAGCCTGAATCGCGTTCAGTCTCAGGCGTGTCTACTGAATGGATCCTTAGCGATCAACTGCGAACGAGCTGGTGCCGTCGCTACGATGAACCTCGTAATTAGTAAGTCCCGCGAGAAACTGTATGGCTTGAGATCCCTGTCGAAGTCTCAAGGTGTCTTGGATATCTATAGAAGTCTGGAATGTCTGAAACGGCGAAGGAAGAGCTATCATTATGCGAGAACCGAGGACATGTTGCCGATTTTCAAGCAACTCGGCGCTGAGATTGCGTCTTCTAGATTCGCTTCCTCGATCAGTGACGATCATTCAATCGTCGATGTAAAATCGGATATTGATTTAATGTCCGATAAGATCGAGCGAAAGATTGACCAAGGTATGCCAATCGTTTCATCGACAGAAGTGAAGACATCAAATTTCAGCAGAGATGATCGGAATTGCGTCGAGTCGAATAATGATTCGCAATCAACGAAAACTGTAGAACCGCAAACTTCGAAGAAACTTACCTCGGAATCCGAGGAAAATCTAGATTCTCTCAAGTCCGTCGAGTCGGATACTCTGACAGAGGACTCAGACGAGATGCCATTGTGCCGCAACGTGATGCCCGCCAATGCGGACAAACGTCCTTGCGAACGTCAACATTCTGACGTGTCCAGTCGTTCCAACAACTCGGCGGCGTCTGACGACAAGGAGGACCGCTCGACGGAGTCAGAGAACGACGAGCCAAAATATACGGTAGCGCAATTAGTCTCTGCCTTCAACAAGCATCAGGAGGTCGCCACGAAGACAAGTCTAAGGGCAATCATGTCCGAGAGGCGGATCAACGAGATGACGTTCCCGACCGGCACGAAGGCATTGCGTCTCTTTATTCCGGACATCAACATCACTGAGAGCAAGATCGTCAGGCGAAAAACGAGTTACAAGCCGCGAAAGAATTGGGAGGAGCTTAGGAAGCGCAACGAGAAGAATGAGGGCATCTTGAAGAGCCTCGATAACGATTCTGGCAACGAGGATGATGACAATGAGGACGAGACTCATGACAGCACGAAGAACGATCTCGCGAAAAATGAAAGAGATTCCATGGAGAGTGCTGAGGAAGGTATTACCGATGTTTCGCAAGCATTGATTCAGAACGAAGGCACAAATTTATCCTTAGATCGATGGTCGCTCTTGCGACCTGAAGAGAGTAACGAACAGAGTATCTTCGTCGACAACGCGGATACTCAAAACAGCCTCGATACTACGATAGACGAGAAATATAAGCAATGCGTGAAAGGTGCTATGTCCAGTAAGATGGAAACGCTAGAGAAAGTGAATAGAAATGAAGAAAAAATGAACAAAAATGAAGAGAAATATCCGAAACTATTAGAAATGCAACCGAGAATTACCGTTTCGGTACGTCAAAAGGAGAGATTACCTAATTACATATATTCGGACATAAATGTCGCAGCCAAAGATGACAATCGTAAAACGTCGAAAAAAATTGTTGTCGCGACTAATGGAAAACCCGGATCTAAAATATCTAAGATCGGACGAACCAAACCGAGTTTTGGTACTGATCCCGCGAATGTAAATCTCAAGGATATTCTGCAGCGGGTGGACAATTCCCAGAGTACCTCCAAAGAAAATCTGGAAAATCTGAGGAAAAGGACATCGATTGCAAAGATTATTTTAAACGACAATCTTATCCATGACAGTCAAGATAATAGTCTTGGCGGTTGTACGACGAATTCTCGCGCAAAAAGTGAACCACTCTCGAACGACAATCAATCGGAGGAGCAAATGAAGCTGATAGTACCACCGTTTTTCATTCGATCCTCCTCCTTGTCCAGCGACAGCAGTTGCCCCACGCCATCTAGCGTACAATCTGACGTAAATATATCATGGGAGGACGTCCAAGTTGCTACGGGCTCCAGCACGTCTCTGGAGAAGGAGGACGTTTGTAGAGTCACAAAGAAGAGCGATATCCAACGAACATGTAGCGAAGGAAGAAACAGACAATGCTCGGAGGACCGGAAAGTCTGGGGACGAATCTGTACCGGCTCTTATACTAGGGCCATGGAAAAGTTTAGTGGCAAAAATATAGACGCCGCGAAGAAGTCGCTGGGTTCAACGATCCACATGCAACAGACGGAAAAGACTAGAAGAAAGAGTAGCCCTGCGATGCCGCAATATATAAATCCTTAAGAATCTTAATCTTTAGACCATTTAAAATAACTGCTGCAATATAATTTGGATAAGAAACCTAAAATCATAAATATATTCACTAATGTTTCTGAAGGAATAGCGAATTCGACTAGAATCGACGCGATGCAGAGTGCAGTAGCGCGGAATCGAACAAGGTAAAAGAGAGATAATGCTCTTGCGACCTTGGCAGATGACCGTGAATGCGGATCTTGGGCGATTCACGGGCATTAGAAATTCCACTGCAGTACCACACGCCGACATCTCTGATCAAAGCGTATCGACATGGTTTAATGACGTGGAGACACGTGTCACCGACTGTCATTAACATCCCACTCGATTGTCGAGTACATAATCGATGAGCGTTACCCTTTAGCTTAATCACCATATTAAGGGAACACTTATTCAGGCTTGCGCGCGCGCATACACCGCGAGGGTGGTGTCAATAAAGGTGGTGAATATTTTCAGAAAAACAAAGGCATAGTAGATAAAATAGAATGTAGTTACTTCAAGATTCTGACATATATCGTCTCAGTTACGCATTGTTTTTTTTTAATATTCATAAAATATTCTTAAATTTTCTTTAATGTTTTTTTACAAGAGTTCCAAAGCTTTGATAATTTTAAAATTACCTATATAGAGATTGGATTATCTCTTTTTTCAATAAAAATGTATGTATCGTATTTTCTATACATGTGTAAATTGTTAATGAATTGAGATTAAAAAATAAACACCGTTTTTTTAGCGTAATTACCGGAAGGATAGCCACAATCACTTTTGTAAGGCATAATTAGGGGTACAAAATTAAAAGGATTGCTGCAGATACACGATCACGGCCATAGCTCGTTATGGGATAATTATAGAGTGATTCACTCTAAGCAAATTGCGTACGCGCGCTTTCAAAGATGCGATTACAGATCGATACAGGAACTGCACGCTATTTGACCTCCGTAAAATTACAGCAAAATAAGAGTAACATGTCGTTGATAGAGTTATAAGCTGGGATCGGATCAATCGGATTGATGGTTATATATGTCAGATATAAGTTTGGAATAGCGATAGCTTTTTCATACGAATTGCTAAAATTAAATTTTATTGTAATATAAAACAAGTTTCTCAGTTCATTATCGTTTCGTTATAATATAATATATGTACCTGCTATATAATATGCACAAATAATAATACACTAACTTGATCATTCCCATCGACTTTTTCGCACTCTTTTACGTTCCGGTCCCGCGGAATTGGAAGCTTGATTATCTTCGGTTGCAGGTTTCGGTGGAACGGTTGGTGGAGGCGGCATTATCACGGAAGGTGGAGTGATCGTCTGTTCCCAAGTGTGATCTGATGACGCTCGGAACTAGTGTATCAAAATGATATTAGAAACACTTTTATTTCTAAATTTAATTTCATGAGATACATTTTATAAAAATAACTACATATATCTCACCTGGGAATTATATTGACTTCGAAAAGCAGCTTTCATAGCAGAGAGTCTGTCGCTACCAGGTCCATGTCTTTCTAATTTTTTAACTACCTCGCTGATATCCTTGGATGCTTGCGATGTCGATCCACCCTAAAATACAATTATTGTTCCAATTTTTCTAGAAAATAACCAATTATATAAATTATCGTTATGATATATACCGAATTCGACGAATTGGGTCTGCCTCTGAAACCAAGTCCTGCTCCACCAACATTTAAACTCTTTCCTTTCCCACCTTTAAATCTTGATTTTCTGAACCATGCGCTTTGCATAGCCAGATCTATCAAGCTCTTTGGCACTTCCTGATTTGCTCCCTCCAAATTTCTCACTAAATGTCCAGCGAACTCCTTATCTTTTTCCGTCACAAGAGTATACGCCGTACCTTTTTCACCGGCTCGTCCTGTTCTTCCTATTCTGTGTGTATGTGTGTCGATATCTCGCGCTACGTCGTAATTTACGACAGTCTTGATATGTGGAATGTCCAAGCCTCGTGCTGCAAAATGAGAATTGTGAGATTTTGTGAGAAAAATAAGATTTTGTGAGTTTCTCACAAAATGAGAATTTCGCATGTATATAAATAAAATTAATAGTTTAATTACCTGCTACATCAGTAGCGACCAAGGTACTGACTTCCTTCTTCTTAAAAGCCGTAATCACTTTATTTCTCTCAATCTGATCCATATCACCATGCAAAAGTAATACTTCAAACTCTTTCAGTTTGAGATTGTTGGAAAGTTCTTCCGCGTTCAGCTGATGTAGGGGAAAAACATTAGATTACACATCCCTTTCACATTGTACTATAGTTATAGGGTGCTTAGTTTTCGCACCTTCTTAGTGACAAAGATCAAAAGACTGCCAGCACTTAGAAATTCAACCAAGTTCTGTAACAGCCAGTTCCATTTACCACTAGGATTATTATGGAACATGATAACATGTTGCGTTACGTCGGTGTTAGCTTCACCAACATCTCCTTGTACTATCCTAATAGGATCTGTTAAAACATCTCTAGCGAGCTTCTCCACTTTCTTTTTGAATGTTGCGCTAAATAGTAATGTTTGTCTGTCAGGTCTCACATGATTACATATAGATCGTACTTGTGGTTCTATAAAAAAAGATAAGATTTGAAAAAAATAGATTTGATAGTAATCGATATATTCTCTTACAAGGGAACCTCGTATCAAATTCTGATTTTAAAAATAAAAAAATTTTGTATACATATAGATGAAACAATAAACGAATTGAGAAAATATCAATTGGTGCAAAACAAACGATTTTAAGAAGTGAATATAAGTAAAACGGTTTTTTATTAATCTCCTTTTTTTCAATAATCTCAAAAACTATTTAAGATACAAAAAATGTTCTAACACAGAATAAATTTTATAATAAAACTATCTCTATTTATTTACGTTAATATGTTTCAAAAATAGTTATTTTCAAAATTTATATTTAAAAATTTTTTTTTTTAATATTAAATTTGATACTCTCTCCGCGTTCTCTTATTAGTGTATATTATAGTGTATACTATATGCGTTTACTCACCAAATCCCATGTCGAACATTCTATCAGCTTCATCCAGAACTAGAAATGTAACTCTAGTTAAATTCGTTGCTTTCATTTTAACTAGATCGATCATTCTACCAGGGGTAGCGACTACAATCTCTGCGCCGCTTTCTAATGCTTTGCTCTGTTCCCATTTGCTGCCACCTCCATAGCAGCAACATACTTGAATATTGTAAACTTTTCCAAATTTCTTTGCTTCTTGATAAATCTATTAAAAAAAAAAAAATATTTATAGTAAACTCTTTTAACATTCTATTGTATAAGAGAAAATGAGATTGTGATACCTGTTGAGACAATTCTCTCGTTGGCGCCAAAATCAGACCAATCGGGCCATCTCCAGCTTTCAATTCGCGTTGATCCATAATGTGCACTAACATCGGCCAGATAAATGCTGCTGTTTTACCGCTACCAGTTTTTGCTATACCTATTATATCCCGTCCGCTTAAGGCAGCAGGAATCGCCTGCGCTTGAATAGGCGTAGGCTGTGTGTACTCGTTTTTACGGATAGCTTTAATCAAAGGATCGTCAAAGCCAAAATGACCGAAACTCGTTACCGGATTTGGCGGAGACGGCCCGGATACTTTTATACCCAGAGTCTTTTTTAAGTCATCGATCTGCTGTTTGCTTAAACTTGCAATTTCTTCATGCACGTTGTAAAAGTTCTTCTCGAACGATTCATATTCTATTTCACTATGATCAATTGCAGGTAATGGATCGATCTCCTTCTTCTTCGGTGGTGCAATGGGATTGCCGTCTTCATCATATTCAATCTCTTGATCGGATTCTTCTTGTTGCAAACCAGCAGTTGGATTTTCTTCCATATACCTCAAGAAGCAAAACAAAAATGGGTTGTATATTTTATCAAAATTTTACGTCAAGTATGTGTGATTGATAATATCTAATAAACTTATACCTGTAGTAACTTTCCTCATCGTCTTCTCCATCAATATCTGCCCGAATTCCTTTAGATTTATCTTCTTTACGATTATCACCACTCTGAGCCGCGTAACTGTTCCGCTTCACTTCTGCATCAATACCTGCCATGAAAGCATCCAGAGTATCCTCCTCACTATCGCTGTCATCCTTTGTTGCCGATTTCTTCATCAAGTCGTATGTGGGAGAACCAGGCGCGGGTATATATTCCAACGATGAAGTTGGAGGTTCGTCATCGTCTTCAAAGTATCTGAATTTAAATAGGGATCATAATGCTTAATATATATGATCTTTTTATAACGTTGATTGCGTTCAAAAGAAAAATGTTGTGTTTAGCAGAAAAAGCAGCTTTGCACAACTGTTGTGAGATTGTTTAAAATATGATTGGTTCATATATTTAGATCTAGTATAAAACTAAGGGCAAGAACCACTTATATAAAAGTCTTATAGTTATAGCTGCTTTTTTGCAAATGCGTTGTTTATATATGAAATTATAATACTAACTCTTCCTCGGTCTTGCTGCGTTTCTTAGGCATACCCCAACATGCGGACAAGGCATTTTCCGTAATGGCATTCATCGTGTGATAGCCTTGTTTGCTCAGGGTAGAGTTTGGTGGAGGTGGAGGTATGTTTGTGCCACTTCTTTTTGTTCCAGACATTTGGAAGCCACTGAAGCCAAAGCCTTTTGGCTTGTTACCACTTCCTCGATGATAACTCATTGTGTTGGCTTTAACAAAGTTAATGATAATTGAAGCTAATTAAAACTTTATCTCCTGTTATTGTAATTGAGTTATCTAATTAAAGGGGGGGGGGGGGGGGTTTCCAGTATAACACACAGTGAATCATTTATCTTCGATTAATATTAACAAACAACAAGGATATAACAAAATACATTTTTTATTTCTGTATTAAATTGTACCAGAATTTTCTTTCCTGCTTTTTTGTCAAATATCAAAAAACATATCTAAGTATTTAAATTCCAAAAGTATATACTAGTTCAGCTGTATAAAACAGATTTATAATTCAACACAGTCGACACAAACATCATTCTATACTTCTCGACATTCAATAAATAACAAAGAAAGAATGATTAGTGCCAACTGTATTTTCTAAGAGGAAAACAGCTTATGTTACACTGTCATCTGCCTCTTACGTCTCGTACAATGGTTCGGCCAGTATAGATGTGTTTTTGCTTCAGTCCGAGTATAGCGTTATCTTTCATTTTTAAAAGTTTCTGGTCCAGTTTAATTCATGCATTTGTATTCCATTTACTCTTTTATATAGCTATACAGTAAAAAGTAAAGGCAGAGAAAAGTGGTCGACTATATCAAACTCCAAGTGTGGAAACAGGGCCATCCAATTAGAGAAAACAAACATCTGCGTCTCTTGTTGGAAAACACCCATAAATAGCCGTACGGATAAACGAGTATCTCAGTCGTGCGATAAGACATAAAATTACAATTGTCCTTACAGAAAACAAATTGTAAGCGATAATGTTCGTTTTGCGTTACATCTAAAATATTCAAACGATTAACACATGAAATAAATATAATAACAGATTAAAATCTCATGAGCGGAATTCATTCGAGGATCAAAGGTTAGGGAATACGGAATCAACATCGTTACCGTCGCGGAGTTCATTTTGGTTGGCTTCTCTCCGCATTACTCGCGATGTAATTGTAGGAATCTTAACTATACGATAACTACCTGTTGTACAACGAATTCACGAATCCATTCGCAAATCTTATTTCATTGCCAAACCAGCCAAAACGATAAGATTACTGTAACGCAAAAAAGCCACGAACTACACAGTACACGGCGACCGGCGTCGTTAAGTTTCATCCAGGGCCACCAACTGAAGCATAAAACCTCTCCCTCCTTTGGTAGATGGTGTCACTATCGACGATTGTCGCTGTCGTCATCATCGAATCGGTAGTTCATAGTTGCGCCGCTTGATGGCGCTCCAGGTGGCGCGCGCAACATGGCAGCGCGCGGCGCGCGTCGTCGCATCGCCGATGGAGGCGCTCTGGCTCTCTTTCACTTTGTCTGATGCTTCCGTCGAATTCGAATCGAACAAACTCGAACATTTTAAGCGCGTAGATTCGAGCCAAGAAAAGTCTTTCTGGATAGTACGAGAGGTACGGTTAAAAAAGCGGAAGAGAAAAGTCTTTGAAGGTCTCGATTTGCGGGTGGGAGAGGGGCGGTGGAGGGCGTTTCGACCTACCCTACGACACGGTGTCGTCCAGTCATCGTCGGTGCTGTTTCGTGTTGCAAGAAAGCACGTCAAATCACGTCGCAGGGCCCGAACGGTGCACCTCCCGTAAGGACATTACTCCGTTACTTTCGATCCGCCCTATACGAGCGCGTGTGTGTGGGTGTGTATGTGTGTTGTATGCATGTGTGTATATTTGTTCTGTGCGCGATTTTGTGGAGGATTACAATGGAACACGTGCAGATAAAGGACATCCGCGCGGGGCAGAAAAACATCAACGTAGTGTTTATCGTTTTGGAGGTTAGCCATCCTACCATAACCAAAGAGAACCGCGAAGTTCGAACGTTCAAAGTGGCCGACAGCACCGCCTGCATGAACGTCTCTATCTGGGACGAACCTGGACAACTTCTGATGCCGGGTGACATTGTACGGCTCACCAAGGGCTACGCGTCCATTTGGCGGCAATGCCTGACCCTTTATTCGGGAAAGAACGGTGACATCCAGAAGATTGGCGAGTTTTGTATGGTAATCAACGAGCAGGTGAACATGAGCGAGCCGAATCCGATGCTGGTGCAGCAGCTTGTTAATCGAGATCAGAGCGGCTCCGGCCCGCCCAGCAGCAACGTCAACAACAGCATCACCAACAACGGCAATGCCAACAGTATCTCGGGTCAACCAGGACGGCAGCCTTTGGTACATAACTCATTAAGAACATCACCCGTGACGATTCCGTCGGCGAGTCAGCGCGGCACTGCGCGGCACGAATTTTTGTAATTATTTATTTCGCCTTCGGTTGAGTTCTTCTCGTTGTTCTCGTGTCAAATTACACTCGGAATACGTCAATGTTTTTATATAATAATTTTATGATTTTTGCAGTGACAAGAAAGTTGATACAGAGCGATCACTCCAATATTGAATGATGAATGTTATTTTGCACAGCGTTTTTGTAGCTATTTTTTTAACAGGCAATGCTGGATATTAACATTTAACGTTCCTATTTTATGTATATCAAAAGCTATTTAGATATGTATTTATATAGCAACATCAAGTGTAAAGTCTAAAACACAGATTAAAAGATAGTGCCATGAATAGAGATCACTTATTCTTAGCGCTTTTGTTTAATCATTTTAAAATATTTTAAACTTTGCACTTAATGTCTCTGTCTATTGTAGATAAATAGCTTTAATATACGTAAATTAAAAACGTGAACTATTATTTTCCAGATATGTACATTTGTTTGTTAAAAATACAACAAAAACGGTGTGCGAGACTGTGTTCTTATATACAATATCTGGAGGGATCGCTCTGTATCCCACGCCCTTGCCAATTGTAAATTACTATATGAAAGTGCTGACGTATCTTGAGCTAATTTGATATGAGAATAACGAATCCTTATTATAATTTTACCAAATAATTAAAATTTTTTTAGTTATTTAAAACATTTATTTTACTTAATTTAAAACATTTATTTTACAAATTATATTTCTTTTAGCTATTTTTCTTATTTTCTAAAAGACTAACACACTAATTAATAAAAAAAAGGTATCATGTTAATTAGGTCTAAGGTGTAATGTATTACATTGAATCTAATTCATAGGACATAGGAAAAGAGTAATGTAACTTGAGTATCTCGCCATCTCAATAACACCAAGGACTCAGTGAATGAAGTAAAATATGTGAAATTTGTGGTAGGCAAGTCAAAGTAACACAACAACTCCTGGTAGCGGATCCGCGGCAAGTTCGACGACCGCAAAGAGCGGAAACGGCGGCAGCGGAGG